GTTTACAGTTTTCAAGAGTTCTATTGTACGATGTGTTTACAGTTTTCGAGAGCTCTGTTGTATGATGTGTTTACAGTTTTCGAGAGCTCTGTTGTACGATGTGTTTACAGTTTTCGAGAGCTCTGTTGTATGATGTATGTACAGTTTTCAAGAGCTCTGTTGTATGATGTATGTACAGTTTTCAAGAGCTCTGTTGTATGATGTGTTTACAGTTTTTGAGAGCTCTGTTGTATGATGTGTTTACAGTTTTCAAGAGCTCTGTCGTATGATGTGTTTACAGTTTTCGAGAGCTCTGTTGTATGATGTATGTACAGATATCAATACTCTGTCGTATGATGTGTTTACAGTTTTCAAGAGCTCTGTTGTATGATGTGTTTACAGTTTTCAAGAGCTCTGTTGTATGATGTGTTTACAATTTTCGAGAGCTCTGTTGTATGATGTGTTTACAGTTTTCAAGAGCTCTGTTGTATGATGTATGTACAGTTTTCAAGAGCTCTGTTGTACGATGTATGTACAGTTTTCAAGAGCTCTGTTGTACGATGTATGTACATTTTTCAAGAGCTCTGTCGTATGATGTATGTACAGTTTTCGAGAGTTCTATTGTACGATGTATGTACAGTTTTCAAAAGCTCAGTTGTATGATGTGTTTACAGTTTTTAAGAGCTCTGTTGTACGATGTATGTACAGTTTTTAAGAGCTCTGTTGTATGATCTGTTTACAGTTTTCGAGAGCTCTTTCGTATGATGTGTGTACAGTTTTTAAGAGCTCTGTCGTATGATGTATGTACAGTTTTTAAGAGCTCTGTTGTATGATGTGTTTACAGTTTTCGAGAGCTAACACTTCGAGACAGAATCTAGATCTGTTTTTGTATTTTCCTTACATAAACATTTCTTTAAAATCATTACTCCCAAAAAGGCCTTTTGTTCTCCCAAAGTCAATTACTCCATTTTTTTTTGGGGGGGGGGGGATTATTTGTCTAGATAATATAATAGCACGTGAGATCTGTCTGTACATATGATATTTTGTAACTCCAAACTTAGTTTGACCATTGGAAATACGACCATGTTATGCATGTGGCATGTTGTATATATAACTGAAAGTCGCACACTTAAAAAAAAAAATCACTCTGGAAACATTAAAATTTTGTCAAATGTCCAAGACTTATCGTGACTTCTGCGAACATGTTCCAGAAATCTATCGTGAAGGAGTTAAGCCTTAGTTAAGTGAAATATTTGAACAAACAGTAAAGCTGTAGCTAGAAAATAACAACATATATGCTTATCTTAAGCCTACTTTAGCTTTAACAAAGATACATCTTTATTTTTCTAACTTACTAATTTGTTGAATCTAAGTTTCAAATGGACAGCATCTGCCTGTTGTAGAAACCTACAAATGTAGAGGACGACGTTTCGAAAGTCTTCCATCTTTTGTCTTCACGTCGTCCATTTGAAACTTAGATTCATTATGAATACTCTGCCTAAACAACCTATCAAAAATTACTAATTTTTTCCGTTAATTTTGATCACTTAGATATATCGATTATCATTATTTAAATAAAATGTTATTTTTTGTAGTTTACTTCTTTATGTACTAGAATGAAGAGGGCGCCCTCTAGTCTAATTCTTCCGGTTAGTTGCGGCGATTCAATGATCAAAACACATCTAATGTTTTCTCTCTATCTCTTTTTTTTTTTCATTGACAAAGGCTTATGTGTAAAAATTAGGATTTGTTTCTTTGTTATTAAGCACAAAGTTACACTACTGAGCTATTTCTGCTCTGCCCATCGCGGGGATCGAAAACCTAATTTTAGCATTGAAAGCTGTGAGACTTACTGCTGAGTCACAAGATGAGGAGCGAGACAGAATTATGAATAAAAAGTTTCTATAAAACCCACGTAAAGTGTTTGTACTTTGTATACAGATGAACAGATTTGCTCAACTTCCATTACATTTGTTGTTCTCGTTCTCTTGATTTTATATATATTAAAAAAATGGTTATCTTTAACTAAACACAAATCTTGTTATCTCTTGATATTGTATCGCATATCTTATCAGTAAAGCTTGAAAGAAATCGTGCGAAAACTACTTTAATTTTATCTTTACATAAGCAACATTTTAAGTGCATTTAAATACCCTTTCCTAGGTTTCAGTTTCAGTTTATTCCAGCATGTTCACTCATACGTCAGCGCTTTTCGGCCAATCAATTGCAAGCGATGGATAAACACGTGTTAAAACTTGATGCGCAGATCACTGACATGCTGTTCTCTACGGAGCTGAAAACACCCGTTGGCATTGGATGCGGGTCGTTGGCTTGATAAGTGCGAAAGTTCAATAGTGTTTTCTCTATGGAAGAGGAAAGCTCCAAGCGTGACGGTGGCCCAGAAACCTGCATCGTGATGTTGCTCCACGAATCAATGAAAACAAGACTCGCGAAGAAAATCGCAGGGGAGGATATCTTGAGGGGGTGTGGTCTATAACTTAAACTGTGCCAAACGGGCGAAATTGGCTCGAGCGTTTACTGATCACCAGCTCAATGACCACTGATAAAACCTTTAGGGGGAAAGAGAAAGAACACGCCTTAAATTTTATTTGGTGATGCGAGAGATGGTACGAGTTTCTAATTTGTATTTTTAGTTGTTTTTTTTTATTTTTGTCAAAACAGCGAACCTCTGATTTTGACACTTTTTTTTTTTACTCAAAGGAATTGATTGAAGTTTTAAGTAGACAATATGTTCTATATACACTCGTAATCACATCACATTTATAGTCACAAAAGAAACAGACTTAGTAATGCATGTGTTCTGCTTGACACGTGAAGAAAATAAAAGGGTATTAAGCAGCCACCTTGTGGGCAGAGCAGGAAGTTGTATTTCATTCCCACATATCTTGTAAAATTTGCGTACTTTAAGTTAGGTTACGGATTGTACCTTTTTTTTTTATTTGTTTTAGTTCAGTATTAAAATATCTAACCCCTGATTAATTTGAAACCCGTGCTGATAGACAAAATGTGATATTTGTAAGTGGATTCTAATTATTTCGCTGTCAGCACAATTTCCGATTATATTATACGCCCTGTTTTTTTTTGTTTTTTTTTACAGTGTTTAGATAGAAGAATAAAAAAACAAAACAGGGCATAATTGTATAATTT